AATTCTGTGTATGAATGTTTGTATATGTAATTAAACTTGGCATCCTGGTGACTGTAATAGCAAAATCCATGTAAGGTGGTGTTTTATCTCCAGAGATGCTTGTTACCTGCATTCTGAAGTGGCGAATGGATACTGAAATTTATATGAATGTGCACACACACATACACACTCTGCCTAACACTATTCGCATATCATGCCAGCCAGAGACAGTGGCACCAGGTTTCAAGGGTACCTTTAACTTCCTCTTCACTCTCCACACTTTTACACAGGTGAATCAGTAGATATCCCTCAGAGTATGAGTCACAGCAATATATAAGAAAAATATTTCTCTGGGTTTCTGATGACTGGAAGAAGCTAAGCTCCTTTTTTTTTTTTTTTTTTTTNTTTTTTTTTTTTTTTTTTTTTAATTAATTTATTTTTTATTTTGTGTCTATGTGTTATTTTCCTTATTGTGAAATGCTCAAACATTTTTGAATAGAGATTTTAAATGTAAAATTGATAATGCCTTAAATATTTTTATGATGCAGTTTTAAACATCCAGGTACAACAAAACCACTTGTTTTGTTACTCTAGTTTCTTATTTATACGCTCAAAGTCGGCCAAATTACTAGTGATGACCCTGTTAGATAATCATTCTGTCTTACCTAGCAAAGCAATACACTGATCTCAAACTATGCAATGTGATTTAAAATTGTATTGATTTTTTTCCGTGTGCAACTTGATTATTTTAGCTGCATGGTTATGTGCAAACCTCAGAATTCTTTGAAGTTCTGTAGTTAACGAAATGGTACTCAGGAAAATCTAAAAGTCAATTTTTTAATTTTTTAATTTATTTTTAAAGATGTGCATCATATTATTTTAATGAGAAATAATATTTATATACATTAATTAGTGTATAAATATTTTAGTAATATTGATTACATCATAAGATTCAATTTTACATGGTATAATTTTAATACTTAAAACTACTGAATAATAACAAATATTGTGATAATATTGTATTTCTGATGTGATATAAAAATATGAGTTTTGATTTCTTAAGAACTGCTGAACGTATACTCATTGTCAACATTATATATAATGAGCACAGGTTTAAGTACATGAGCCTGTATAATAAGCATAAGGAAAAATTAGTCAAAGTGAAACCAATCTGCAGTGTGCTTATGCCAAGTCAAAACAATGTAAAAAGTAAGCTGAACTAGCTTTAATTTTACACCATTTCTGCTATTCAATTTAATGTTGGTTTGGTCAGGGTCTGTTGGAGTAGCTGCTGGAATCCCTGTTTTTGCTGTATCTCTGACTGAAATCGACTCTAGGTACTGTCAGCAGATGCAGTTTAAAAATAATTAGTTTTAATGCTTCTTGGTATGTTGTAAATTTCTGGGTTAAAATAGGACTTAATATTATGTTTTTAAGGATGCATTTTAAATCCTGAATGGGATATAAACTATTTCAATTTATAACATGTTTAAAAAATGTGTCACAATGCTTTCACATGCAAAACTATTTAAAACAAATCTGTTAAATATTTTAGGTCTTTATTTCAAAACATATACCATTTTGTAACAGACATGTGAAACTCTTCAGCTGATTTTGCTATGTTTTGATAATACCCAAGCTTTTCATGTACTTGAATAATATTTAATTTCTTTTTTTCTGATGAACTGCTTTGTTGCCTGCTGTATCAAAGTAGTCACTGAATAGCTCAAAAGTTTTATGCTATCCAAAAAGATCCACCACCAGGAGAACAGTCTGATACATTTTATGAAATAGATATTGATTTCTAATGGATATGGTATAGTGTGTTTCATGTCTGCAAACTTGYTTTTAACTTGAACATTGAGAAAGATCTCTGGTACAAATAGAAAATAAGACAAAATATCCAAATATATTAATATTGCCTTAATTCACTTCTAAAGAAAAAAATATTGCTTATATAGCTTTCTGAAAAATAGTGATATTTTAAAAGGATGTTAATTGTTAATTTTGATTCTTAATTTTCAGCCTTATTATTTTTGTGTGTATGCAACTGAGATCTATATTTAAAAGCTGCTTTTTCTGTTTTATTATTAAATACATTTGATAAAAAATTCAACAGTTTATCAGCACAATTTAGCCCTGATGATTTTTGTTTTCTTAATTTTGAGGTACAGATTATTACTAGGTCTCTGATATGTATTTAATCAACAAAGCACATGTGAGTTAAAAAAAGACATATTTTCTTTCCTTTTTTTNTTTTTTTTTCTTATATGCCGGCAAAGATAACAGCAATGCAATTTCATTTAGGCAGGCAGGATTCTGAATTTCCCTAGATTTGTCAATCAGAAAGCTCAATTTACTTGTTCACTTTCATGGAATCTATGAGTAGACAACAGAACAGAACCTAGTTTGCTCCCTGTACCAGTGCAGAATTGCTGCCACCCTGTATATTTGGTAGTGCTTTGGCCAGTGATTTTAAAATTACCTAGCAGTGAACTATTTTTTTGCTCTCCAGAGAGATTTTTCTATTGGTTAACTCACAGTCAGGTTTTTCTTTTTCCCCCACTGATATATGCCCTTTATTAATTTCATCCCATTACTCCTAGTTATTCTTCCTTTTACTATGCTAAATAATTCCTTTTATGCTAAATAATTCCTTTTCTCCATTTTTGAGTTATCACACTGTAACATTACTGTTCTCCTTTTTATGGAAACTGTCTCAAATTGGCAAGATCTAAAATATGCTGAGTTAAATCTGCTATAAAAGACTTTATTGACAATTACTGTAACTTAAACACAGCACTGCTCTAATAATCTCAACTAACACTGAAGCTTGAGCAATTTTTGTTAGCTGAACCAAGAAATCCATCAAAAGGAACCCTCTATTCTGAACTGTTTCTTAGTGATGTAATAGGGCCAAATGATTAAGCATAGCCAAGATAGCCAAAATCCTCTGGGTCAAATTACCCTGTCTGCTGAGAAGCACAACAGGGTTAAAAGGAACACAGATGCTGGACAAATGTTTCTGGTAAGGGGAGGGAAAGTAGTGCAATACTGTCTCCTTTTTTCAGTGCTGAAGCTAATTTATAGTAGGCTCTCCTTGGCTGCCTGTGGCTTTTCCTAAGGGCTAGGGACGGCAAAGTGCTGAAAGCTGTGGGTCCAAGGTCCCAAATGTTGCTTTCTCTACAGCCCATAGGCAGGAAGACATAGTGCTACATGCTCTGGGGTCAGAGAAGCTGATGTTTGCTAGCGTTGCCTCCAAGGGAGCATGTAGGTGCCTGGGCAGCTCCTGTGCACAAATGCTCCAACATCGAAGATACTATGAAGTCTAGCTGGGGCATTACACAGAGGAGAGAACTTACCTCGCCGCTGATATTATTCATGGACAGAATTTGTGGCAACTTTTGGGCAAAGGGTGATGCTGTCAGAGCAAGAGTGGCTTCTTATCTGCTAGGGGCCCAGCCAGAGACCAGGGGCATCAGCTATGGGCCTGTTTTAGAAGATAGTGCTGCTTAAGGGTGGGGCATTGGGAGAGCAGGATTTATGCAAAAAAGCTCCTGAATTTTAAAAGGAAGACATATAAATGACTGGAAAATCTGCATGGTAAATTTGGAATAAACCATGCCAAGTTTTCTAGACTTTCTTCTGCCTCAAATCTTTTCTCTGTACAGACCCCTCAATTTAGTTACAGCGACTTTCACACCAGCATTCTGACAAGGCAAGTTATGCCCTGAGAAGCACTGTGATAAAGTTGCATTGATGCATGCTACAGTCGTGGTTGCAGTGAGAAGGTTTGCTGGTACCTGACACTCTGCATCTGACATTAGTAGCTATCCATTTGCATCAAGTCTGATTTTGCAAAATAGCACGTAGATACTATTCCAGCTGAAGCTAATAGAAACTGAGGGCTCATTCTCTTGGACAAGCTAGACGTGCTTTAAAGGTACCTGTGGATGCTTAGATGAGSAGTTGGGTATTTTACTGCAGTTGCTTATTTCTGTAGAACTTTGGGTTCTGTTTCTCATAGGATTGGGCCCGTCAAGTAAGTGTGTGTGCGCGTGCGTGCATGCATGCGTGTGTATAGGGCATATAATTKTTCTTTATTTTACTTAAGTTACCTAGACTGATGTAAATTTGCACGAAGATTTTGGTGTTGTAGTGATAGTGTCTTTATTGTATTACTTTTGCTGGACAACATAGTGTTTCCAATCAAAATTAGGGCTGCTGAGATTCACCTGATTTTAAAATTAAAATCTGCTTTTGTAGTATTTTACCTTACTGCATGGTCTCTTATTGAGRATGTTTGAAAAGAGATGGATAATATAGGCATAATCCTACAAGAAACAATATATATTTTGTTTCACAGAAATATTTAGGATTTTTTTTTTTGTTTTGTTTGCTCTGGTTTAATATGCTTAAACTATTCCACGATCCCTTTAAGCACATTAAAGGTGCTCCATGTAAACAGGTCCCTCTGCCCTTGTTCTCTAGACTGTAGTGAAGCTGTTGAAAGGTTTCTGAGTGATGGTGCAATGTTTTAAATTAAATATAGATTTAGGGTTCTGAGCCTGCTGGGTTGAGTGCTGTAAACATTGGAGGCCCAATCAAAACAAACACGAATGACACAAGTGATCTTCATTGAATCATTTGGCATTTCTCTTGACTTGTWAAGAAACAGCTTGTTGTTTCCGTTTGAGGAGTATTCTTTCTAGATCTAGTCAGATTTTTCCTTTGTAGAGAATCCATGATGAGATAAATAACATGCTCTTACCGTGAGCAGTGAGTTAAAAGCAATGTGTAGCATAAAGCAAAGAAGCTGTAGTGCTTGGAGGCTCCATTTTACTCCATGATTAATTGTATTCCTTCACCGATCAACCACTCTGTTTACTGTATTGTATCAGGTGCTGTTTATGAGCCTAATTCCCAATATAAAACTGCTACAGCTGCGATGGAAAAAGTATTACGCTTGTGTGTATATTAACATTTGGGGCAGCAGGAGAGTGTTTTCTCCTTGATATGARTATTTTTTTTTTGCACTGGTGGGTAGCACAAGGAGATCTTGCACGGCAGTCTTTTGTGAGAGGGAGCTTCACTGTCTTTTTGTTGCTTCGAAGGGAAGAGACCATGCAAGCCAAGGCCCTTCTCCAAGGCTAACACCTCCAGAATATTACTCAGCCAGGTAATGATGATGGTTTATATGCTGAAAGGGTTTCTGAGAGGGTTATCATTGAGAGAAAACAATACAACAACAACAACAACAACAAAAAAAGGCAGAAAAAAACAAACACAAAAGTCCAAGAATATTTTCACTGTTTAGGGAAGAGGAGCAAGATGGTTAAAGCTCTGCCTTAGATTTTAGCTTTTGAGTGCAGGAGACTAAGCTGGAGGACTGGGCTTGAGGTGTGCGTGTGTATGCAAGGATTTGATTTTCTCCCTTGTGGAATTAAAAGAACCTGGAGGTGTAGCACAACAGATGTAAGGGTATTTTGTTTTATTTTATTTTGTTTTGTTTTATTTTATTTTATTTTATTTTTTCTTGTCCTGTACAACAGCTTGACCTCTCTCCCTCGCTCCTTGATGAGCAGATCAGATTGTTGTCTTTTTAGTCCTTTGTCTTTTTGCATCCACGGTCATGTTTGCTGTTAAAAACATGACCAGCTATGGAGAATTTCCCTTTTCAATCATAACAGGAAAAAAAAATGTGCTCCATTGGTAGCAGGGGAGACTGGCAGAGGTAAAACAAAGATTARACCATTTCAATGGCAATCCCTTAGTTGTATAGCATAGGTCAAAACACAGTGCCAGGAATCAGATAAATAAGGAGCAACCCATGCAACAGTGACTCTAGGGAAGAGTAGAATAAGATGTTAAAAATAAACCAAACAAACACCAATTTCTTGAGAGTTATGGTTAATGCAAAATGTATCTTTCCCCTTGGAAGGACAGTGTCACACATCTCCGCTATCTCATACTTGGTGAGAAAGGCAAGACTAGTTAGTAGTCGAGAACACCCTGATGTTCTGTACTGCAAATTGAAAGTGAAGGTTACTTTCTTGTAGACTTTATCTTAAAGCAGTAAAACGGGTAGCTGCAGCTACAACTGAAAGTATTGATTTTGTAATTTCAGCAAATTAAGAACAAGACAGGAAACCTATTAAACCTTTCCACTGATTGCCAGGGCACTTTTTGGTGATGCTGGTGCTGACATTAAAATTACAGGCGCCTGTCTCTTTAAAGCCAAACATATACATTTTACAGAAGATAATGCCAGTTAGTACACTGAAAAAGGATCTTTATAAATCTGTGTAATTTCATATTTCAGATGTGAAACTTTTGAAGCCTGATGACATGAATGTCAAGCAGCACATCTAAAATTTTCATAAATTATGGTTCATGTTAGATGTGCTTTTATTACATYTTAATAAATTAAAATTTTCACAAAGCCAGAAGATTTTTTATAATAATAGCAAAGATGGTAACGCTAGTAATAGCATTATCTGTCAGAACATTATGAGTAATGATTATGTAAAAATCTGTGTAACAAAGGATAACAGAAGAAATGATCAAATTATATTCTTCTGTATCTTGTATAAAACAAGTTATTTTATTATGGTAGCAAAAACTCAACTTCTCTTAAAGCAATGTTTAAATTACTTTTAAAAATCAGTGTAATTAAATTCATGTGAATTGCAATAGTTAAGATCACTTGTTTCATAAAGAATTGTTTTAAAGCTTTCCTTTAATATTACCAAATATAAATTAACATATTGTGTGTTTTACAAATGCAATATTTCTAATAGTCCTTAACAAGAAAAATTTTCATTAAAAGTGGGGTAGGTTCAGGAAAATTATACCTGGATTCACTCTGAACACCCTATAAAGATGTAAGTTTTAACTTTATCCAATTCATAAATATTTTGTTTCGTCTGAACGGGCATTTGGCATCATTCCAGTGTGTAAACAAGCATGGATTTTACACACACAAATCTAATTTACAGGCAAACCATCATTTACATTTACTGTAGTAGCCAGCAATTTGTGACATGCCTGTAACAGAAATGCCAGAGGAGGTGGTGGGAATGGAAATTTAAGAAGAAAGAACGGATTTGCCACAACAAAGGCAATCTTAAAAAGTGTGGGGCAGCACTGAAAAGTGAGTGTGTGCCAAAAGTGTGCAACAGAGCTCACCTCATGAGCCTGTGGCAGCTTTTTTTGACCATCCCTAAACATACAAGTGAGAATGTGCAGCTGTTAAAGGTCTAACAGCAGAACAGTGTATGAAAATGGATACCATGTGTGAAAATATGTACATAAGGATGAAGGTGTGGACTGGTGAAGTGGATTTAACATTATAAAAAAAAAAAATCTGGAATAATGAGGAAGAGAGATTAAAAGGGGAATGCAGAGCTTCAAACCAATCAGTCAGGAGACTATTATTAATTACTGTTATTATTTACTTGAAAAGTGATTCCCTTGGGGAATTCTGCATATCTACAATCACCCTTTCAAAACTATCAATTCAAGTGTGAGGGTGATTCTTTGCAGTGCTTCTCTTCAGTTTTACCAGGAACGCACAACATCCACCTCTGTGCTTATATGTTTTCCCCAGGGTTTCACAGCAGGTATACCAAGCTATGTGCTAAGCTGAGTGCACGCTGCATACTAGAGATATGTTCAGATGATATCTATAACTCCAAAAAAAGGACTGGTGCTTTATTGAACTGCCCAGATGAAGTCCACAGAGATGTCCAGCTCCGACATATCTCACAGTCTGGGGCTTCACTGAACCTAAAGCAATGAAAATGAAGAGGAGAAGGATGCAATAACAGTAAAGACAGGTGCACACATAAGTTATTCACAGTGGCCTAAATACTTGCAGGTGGCTGGCAGGATAACCACTCCCAGATGGTGGTGATTTGTAGGAAGAGAGGCAAAAGGCAGGTTTTAAGGAGGAATTGAAAGGGGGTAAAGATCAGTCTCTGCCTGAGAGTTGACACTTTATTTGGCAGGGGATGGCTTCAATAATCTGGGAAGGAGCTGTAACTTCTCTTGCTTGAGTTCCTTCTGGCCATTTGACAATGCTGAGGTTTTATTAAATCTACTATGAGTTAGAGCCTTCTCCTAAATTTCTCTTTGAACTTTCTTTTCTTTCTATTAAATCTTGGTTTTTCCATTCTTCCATCCACCTTATGTGCACACTACTGGTCTTTCTCYTGTAGCTTTATAATCTTGCCAGATATATGAGTGGTGGTGTGGTTTCCACCACTTTTGTGCTTCCAAAATGTATCAGAGCCTGGTTTTGTTTGCTTTTGGCTTATTTGTATTTTTTGTAGATTCACCAAAAGCATTTATCGAATTTTTAAATTATTTTTATATGTTTTACTTGACTGTTCCATTTCTGAATGGGGATGTATTGCATATGCGCAGTGTGTGTGTATATATTTATACACACACTCATTTTTACTCAGGTTTAAAACATCAGTTGTTTTCAGTGAGCTGCAAAAAGCAGGAATCACAAGGGGGGGGGGGGGGCAGGGTGAAAACGCACCCTAAACTGTGTAGGTACTTCTTCTATGTGAGTCACAGTAAAGATTTGTAGCCCAGTCTTTCACATTCTAAGAGGACCTTACTAGGGAAATTGAGGAGGCAATTCATTCATTCATAGGAAATTTATATATTTATGTGATTTTTTTTCTTTTTTGTTTGGTTTTTGTGTGCTTCTTTTTTCTCCTATTTGTCCAGTGGCCAAAGAAAGGGCAACTCTATAATTCAAAGGTCAGAGCATTTATCTGCAGTGGACAAATCTCAGCCTGAAGTCTGGGCTTTAATAAATTATTTCTGCCATAGAAGAAATGGCAGCTCTCCCTTCTCCTCCCCACTCCTGCCCTCCCCCGCAAAAAACAGTAGCCAGGTATAGTAGGACGTTTGTTGGATATAGAACACAGAATGTAATATAGACTATGGGCCTCCTGCAGTCTTGGGAAGTGTCCTCATGAAAAGGTCTTATATAGTATTCTGTGGAAACTGCTTCCCATATGAAACACATGGAGAATCTGGGTTATGACCCATGGCAGAAAAGGAAATAGTATGTTTCCCAAAATGTTGCAATGCAGGAGAATCATGTCCTGCCCACCTTTACTTTTCCACTGAGAGTAACAGAAGTTTTCTGACAACAAAATCTCTGCACGCTTGTGAATGTACACAAGCATATTGGAAAACACTGATCTTTATTAAAAATTGCTTTTTATCCTGAAACTTGTCCAGCAGTGGAGAATCAGAACCTTAAAAAGGCCGTTTTAAACAATGCAATATTGAATGAACAGGTGATGAAAAATTTGGCCAATACATGCTGATTATACACTGAAGTGCAATTTTGGCTATTAATACTTCTATTTCATGAGCATGTTGTAAATGGTAAGTGCTAAATGCATTTGAATAGCTGAGTTAATATTTTATGTACTACTGTAATTATGAATTAGAAAATGCAAGTCTACTGGCCTTCTTGAAATACTAATGGCAAGTTCTCAAGAGTTCATTATCAATAGACACATGGTAAAAATAACATGGATTTCTGATGAATAAAGGAATTAATAGAGTTTTTGATAACAAGATTGTGGTAAATTAAATGTTAGCAAGCATGATAATAGCATCATTTCAAGCATAACTCTGAACCAGATGATTGATTGAATCTTACTAAATTAGTATAAAAATAGTAGGACCAATATAAATTCCTACAAGTGTAAACTGAAGAGAGAAATAACGAATTCAAATATCATCTTAACTAGATTTCTGTAAAAATTAAATCACCATTCTTGGAAGATATTGTCAAAGAAGAGAAACACAGATCTATACAAAACTTCATATCAGTCATACATTTTGAACTATAAATAGTGATATTTTTGTAAGTAATGAAATAGAACATAATTACAACTGGTGATGGGGGAATAAAATAGAGAAATGTTTTCTGACTTTTGTGTATATGCTGTACATTCTATTCACACATAGCATATGCAGTACACATATGCCTGCTGGACTCTGCCAAGGTTTTTTTTTATTATTATTCTTTACATTCTGTTTTTTCTGTTTTATTCTTTTATCTACCTAAGCAAACTTACAGGAAACAAGTATTATTTAAAGAAGAATTGACTTTTTCATTGAGAATTCACTGAGTGCTAAATATTCTTTGATGACCTGAAAAATGTTTGTATATATAGCAGAAAGGAGAAATCTTTTTTGATGTTAAAAGGCTTTTTTTTTTGTCCTATCCATTGCCTTCCAGAAAAAAAAGAAAAAAAAAAAAAAAAAAGAAAGAGAAAAGAGAGGGAGAGTGAAAACAGAAATCATGTGTTCTTTTTATGGAATTCAGTGATGTATGAAATTCATAAAGGAATTTTGTGTTTATTCTCTTTGTTCCCTCCAAGTTTTCCTTATTGTTTAGTCAGTTTTTCTACTGGGGCAAATGTATGAAATAATGATTTTGTCTAGTGGTAGTTAAAGGCAAAAATGGTAAATTATTGTCTTGAAACAAACTTGGAAATAGTCAAGAAAACATCAGATGTTTTCCACAAATAATTAAGTGAAAATCAATAGCTCTGTGTGTCAATTCCTTACTGCTTGTTATCCTTTCTTTTCTCTCTATGAAGTAAAAATGTTTTGAACTTTGGTTTTGGGTAAACCTCAGAATATTTGGACGTTTCTCTGAATTTACTGATATTGTTTCTTTAATAATGTCTCAAACATTTCCATTGTTGTTTCCTCACCCTCCAAATGCATGATTTATTTTCTTTTATTCTTCTTTGGGATAAGTCACTTTCTCAATTTCCTTTCCTTTTGCTGTGAACACAAATTAGTTAAGCATTTTATATCCAAAGTGCCAATAGCAGCTTTTCCAAACTTTGCTGCCTATTACTTTTCCCCTATGTATTTTCCCAGTGTACCCTACAGTTTTCCTAGTAAGGAGCCCCTCACAAAGAAGGGGATGGGACCATCTTCTCCTCCCGTCCCTGGGTTTTCTGACTGCTGCAGCTGGTTTCATCTGTCACCATGTTGATCCAGCCCCATGGAAAGGAAACTCCACCTGTAATTCCTGTAAACCTGGAGAAGAGGTTAGAAATGTCATTCTGTCTGTTAGTTCTGGCACTGTCTGAACCTTTTAAGTCACAGCTTATACTGTATTAGATGCCTTGACATGGAGCTATGGAGTAAACTGCACAAACAGAAATGCTTTATACTGGAAAAATGTGAAAACTGGAATTAGTTTTAGTATTCCTTTCTTGTTTTGCCTTTTCAAAAAACTCACTTTTTCGGAGTTGGCAGTTTTGGGGAGTGGGAGAAGGGATGTGAAAAAAAACAGTCTTGTGTCATTTCCCTGAAATGTTAGGGAGATGTGATATTCTTTTCATCTCTCCACAGCATTTACTGTTGTAATGCACTTCTATAGCATTCTGGATCATTTTGCTTAATGTTTGTTGTCAATAATAGAATAACTTTTTGTTTTGTTTTCTTTTCTAACAGGAAATTCTGCAAGCCCAGAAACTCCAAAGGAGGAGATATATTTAATATAGTAAATATGGAGTCACCTGAAGGTGCTGGATAATGCACTGGACTCTCTATGCTTCAGCTACATCATTTCTTTAGATAAGATATAAGGAACAGATTAAACCATTATTTGGGGGAAACCATTTATTAGATTTCTTTGACAGAATGGACAGATCCTGGTTGAGCTGTGGCTGAAAAGTTTAGCTTGCCTAACATTTCTGAAGAGAAGCTTGAACTTGTATCTCCAAAATGGAAGTATGACATCTTAACTGCTTTGGCCTTCTTCACATGCTAAATGGAGGATAGTGAAATTAATACCAGGCACAATTAAAGGAATATTAAAGCTRGTTTTGATAGTAAGGAACAGTTAAAAGGAAATATTATAAATCTTTAGCCTGGAACAATTAAAACCAGTTTGTTCGCAGTTGTAGGATATGTGTTTTTGGAAGGTACTTTGTGCAGCTAAAGCCTGGACTAGATGATTGTAGCAAGACTTATATATTCCCTTAAAAAATCTTTTTCTTTTTTTCCAAAAGCAGGAGAAAAATCTTACCTGTCTTCTCAACGAAGATGAGTTACAAGGAGAGATGGTGTCTAGTGTTATGGTCGTAACAGTGGCAAGCAGTCCCATGATGTCTATTTAAGAAGGTGTCCTTTGAAGAGGTCTCTCTCCAAGTGGGGAATCTGTCCCTCTTGGCAACAGAAATGCAATTGGCTTCACCACGTAGCCAAGTGAACTTGAGCTCAAACAGAAACACCGCAATCAAAGTGAAATGTAGGTATAGCCTAAAAGGCTTCAGTCCTACTTGGATGTCTTGGTGAGAAAAAGCCACTTGGAAGAGGTTTTCTATTCAGTGATGTAGACAYATCTATTTGGGAAATTATTTGGGAGAGGCAGTATGGATCAAGCAGCAAAGATGTTCCTGTAAAAGGAGTCAGTTTGATAACTTTTCTAATTAGAGTAATGGCTAAGCATTAGAAAATATTATTAGGGAAGATGGTGGAATCTCTGTTCATTAATTTAAAAGAATAAAAAAATATATCAGGATTGATCTCGCATTGTGGGTAGGGTCTCTTTTGGCACATATTTAGTCCATAAGCTGTACGAACAGGTAACTTCTTTAAGGAGATATTCTGTGCAGATAATGAACCTCTATGATCTCATCTCTTAACAGTGCAGACCAGAAGTCTTAATTATTTTCTAGCAAGCTCTGCCAGACAGTAAAAGCAAGCAAATGTTCTTAGATATTTAAAATAAATAATGTGACTGAAGTAGGGGCAGGTGGATTGCAAGTCAAATAGCATTCAGCTGCCAGAGGTGGACATGGCGTGAGTGTGGGGCTGCAGAAAGATCAGTCTCAGAAAGAGCTTTCATGCTAAGATGATCTGTGAAACTGTTGTTTACTGCAGGGTGGTGGGGAAAACAGGAAACAAAGTGCAGCTCTGCACAAATGGGTATGCATCAGCTGCAGAGAATTACTGTGGCCTTCAGGCTACAGAAGTGCTGTTGCTGCCTGTGCTCCCTCTATGCCCTCTGATCTAATTCCCTGCCACAAATCTCCTGTGTGCAGCCCAGGATTTAGGCCACAGGGTTTCACTCCCCAGGGGAGGAGAGCAATTGAGCCTTAGTTTCCTGGTTGTCCCTAGAAGTCTCTTTGTTACTAACAAATAGGGAGCAGCACCCTATGGACCAGACTGCATATGYATACTGAAATTTTGCTAATTATGGATCTTAAATCATAAAAGGCACTTTCCTGGACTCCGTGGAGCTTAATGGAAGGGGCTCAAATGAGCCTTCCCTGACTCAAAGAAATTCACTTTTAACACATATGGGTCAGGGATAGGTGTAAACTGTGAGCATCTGATATATTCACAAAGACTCTTGACATGTATATTAGTATTTTGTTTCAACAGTTTTGAATTTAAAGGAACTTCAGTTTGGCAAAACTTTTTTTTTCCCCTCCCCCTCCTTGAATCTTTTGGCGTGGTTTAGCAGGAGGATGGCTTCTCTCCCTCCCTTAGAATAGCTAAGTAAAGAGGTTTTCCAAGGGAGAATGAGGAAAAAAGGGGAGGCACCTGGAAACAGTATCAGCCTGTCAATTGAGGACACAGCACCCTACAAATAGCCCTGACATATCTGCTGGCATGGGAATAACGTCTACCACATATATCAAAAAATGATGTAACTTCTAGCTGAATGATAATCCAAGAATGGCTTCTAGTAGACTAAAATCTGTAAAATAAAATAGAAAATGCTATCTAACCATTTCACATTGATTACAGAAGAGACATGGGGTTTGTATTGGTTCAAAGCTGAACCACTTAGATGAACCACTTTAAGAAGACTGAGAGTGAGCAGTAAAGCTTTAGTGCAACAGTCTGCATAGTCTAGTGGAAAAATAGGACTTGACTGAATACTTTCTTTCTAAGGGCTGGAAGAAGGAAGGTAGTGGGGAGGCAGAATGGGGTACCTGAAGTTGTACATCTTCCCCCATGGAATAGAGATCACAGTTGTTTGTTGCTGTTGTTGGTTTTTAGTTTTTGTTTTGTTTTTTTTTAATACTGGAATTATCTTTCCTGTAATCAAGGCAGCAAATTTAGCGCATTTGATTCACAGTTTTCCTCACTGCACAAACAAAGGTGATGCTACTGGAATTTTGATTAAGTCTAATGAGGGAAAGTGTAATGTATTCATTCCTTCCACTCTGGCTTCTTGAACAGATTAGCTGCAAAATCTGCCCTTCTTCATGCTTGCAAAACATAAACATAGTTAAAAGGAAATCATAATAATACTTGATGTAGAGACAGTGCTTAATTTTTTTTAATCTTTAAAGAATAAAAGCTAATACATCAATAACAAATTAAGCAGATGACAATTTTATATGTTTATATTATTGGCTAATAATCATCCGATTAACTGGTTCATGCCAAGAGCTAAGTTAGGTCTGGACAGTAGGAGGTGATAAGATCCTATTCAACCAAGTTGTATTTGAATCTACTGCAGGATTATATGAACCAGTCATGTGATTCTTAAAGGAACTAGCAGACGGAAACCGTATCTTGGGTAAAATTTAATTCAGAAATATAATAAATAGCAGAGAAAGAAAAGAAGTCTGGGAGAAATTTTCAGAGAATATTCTGTTTTGTAATTATTTTGTACACATGCATAGTGTGTATCTTCATGCTTAGGAATACACACTTTGCCTACCTATACTTGAATAAACATTCAGATAGGTTGGAGATAGCCATTATCACTTGTTAGAATAACTTAATTAAACTTGCTTATTAAAACCCTTTAATTCGTTAGTGATAAAATCTTGATTAGTACATTTTCCTGCTAGGTGACCTTCTAATTTAATAGAAAACGAATTTTTAAATGGAGAAAAATGCCTGTGGCTGAGATTTTGTGCAAGTGAATAGAGTTTGTAATACACATAGGGATATAATCGAGCCTAATTAGTGAGGGTGCAAATGAATTTTTATTTCATACACCAGAAGTGTCATTGATGAACCGTGGTTCAGAGTTTGAAATGCATTCAGACTGGCAGTGTGGGACTGAAGTCTGTGGGAAAATCACAAGCTAATTCATTGATTGCCCCTTGGAAATTACTGCTGTTAATTGTTAGGTAATTAACATGGAGCTACAATTATATTGGCCTTAGGGGGTGATTAATGTTTCAACATGTCACATTAGCAGCGGCTGGATTTTAAAAGCTTTTCTTTTCACATGCTTTAGAGACAGATGGTATATTGTCTGTGGAATTTTTCTTTCTTTTTTTCTTTTTTTTTTTTTAACCAAGTTTATATCTAGATTAAGCGAATATTCTTTCTCTGCTACAGCCTATTTTTACATGGTTGAATTGTAGGCATCTTGGCCTGATGTACCTTAAGAAATAATACTTGTTCAAAAAAATCCCCGTTATACTTGCTATGAATGCATAAAATATGAATGTTGATAGGTAATAGTTTCTGTTCCTATTTCTCATGTAGAAAATCAAAAATAGATAATGTAAGATCTGGACAGTTCATGGCAACTCTTGCATTATTTAGTCAAGATACAGGGGAAAAGATTGCACAATATCATACTTATCACAATCAATATAATTTAAGCAGAAACCAAACAAAGCATGTTGAACAAATGCATTTAGTAACAGTAATAAAGAATAAATGCCTCAATATTTCACTTTGTTCTGTGTCAAGGTCTTTCTCCTCTCATTGTTCCAAAAGTAGAATAAGATTAGCATAGACTTTTTGAAATTTTACTGTCATATCAATTAAAAAGAAAAATTGTGCCCTTAAAATGTTCTCCTGAAACCAACAGTATCCATCTTTGAAGACTTAATATGATAGTGGGATGAATACTAAGGTTTTATTTTATTTTCGTTGTTGGTGGTGATTGTTTGATATGTTTGTTTTTCCTTCTCTACATGCTGTCACACTGTATAGATATTTTTCAAACTTCTGGATTATTCATAATCACTGTGTAAATATTTTCTTAATAATATTCTCTTCGTGTCATATGTATGCTCGTTAACTACGTATGCTAGAAGTTAGAAGTTTTGAAAGTGTTTTAATTCTTTTTATTRTAATTGAGAATGGCATTTAGTCTTGTGAAAAGATATATTTAAATGTCAAAGTGGGAATAGATTTTTGAACTTCTTTAGATTTATAAGACTTCTTTTTTCATAACTTATTAATTTACATTTAAAATACATAAGATATAATGAGCTTCTAGTAGTTGAAAGGACCAGTATCTACTACAGAACACTTCTTTCCTTTTATTTTCCTTTTTTTTTCCCCGCTTCTGTCAACATTCAAGGTGTAATCTTCCTTGATARTCTCATATTCTTGTTTTTGTTATGGCTTCATCGCTATATTGGTTGTTCCACTAAAACATATGACAGAAGTCTTTATTATTTGCAGCCATGCCTGCTAATAACTTTTAATTTCCACTAAAACAGCTTAATGTGGAGGGGATGCTACTACTTTAAATATAGTCTTTTTGCATATACTAAAAAACAAAGAAATGTAGCAGGAAAAATGGACATCTTGTGGGTTTTTTTTTTTTTTTTTTTCTCCTTCCTAAAGAGTAGCATGGATTATACGGTTCTTGTGTACCAAGGTTTCACTCTTTGCTAAAATCTGCTTTTCTGGAGTATCGTAAATGTTACCTAAATATACCAAATGCCAGAGACTGAACTAGGAGAAGTTAGTTTTATGAAGAAGTTAAAGGAAATGAATCAGTAGAAATGGTTGTGTCACAGGAGATCACCTGCCTTTGGTGAGTCATCCAGACTTTCTTGTGCCCTTGCTCGACAAAGATCCAGAAAAGCTCAGTGCAAGGAGAGGTTTAAGAGCCTGACCACCGCTTTTAAAGAGCGGAAGTAAGTTAATACAAAGCTTGGTCAGCAGAACCCTTAAGCCTTTGGTTAACTTTAAGCATATGAGTAGCTCTGTTGATATTACAATTAAGTCTGTACTTACATGTTTTGTTAGATTAGGGTCATTGCCCTCCGAGAACTCCATAGAGGAAGAACACTCTAATTGAATGAAGTTACATAGACATTTGCCTGGCAGTATATTCATCTGTAATGTGTAGATCCCATAGTGTAAAAGGATCTGTCCTAGGATATGGAGGGCAAAGGGAAACAAAGAGGAAGACCCAGACATAAATGAAAACAGGGTAAAGAAGCAAAGAAGGAATGGCAGGCTAGCTTTCCCTTCACACATTCTTAGGGAAAATTTAAGGCTTTTGTTGTTGTTGTTATAGTTGAATCTTGAATGTGTAATATTTTAGCCAGCTTTGCAGCAAGCTTCTCCTCTCTCCCTTTTCTCATACTTACCTGGGGAAAAGAAATGGAAGTAAACTTGTATTGGTCAAAAAAAAATGCAAAGAGAAGCATTGCAGATCTTGGGGGATCAGCATAAATGTGCATCTGGCATGGGATAAAGTATTCCACAGAAGCACAGCACTTGACAGAACCCTTCTGCAAAGCTCGTGGCCCTCTGGCTAAAGCTTGTGAGTGCTCTTGGCTCTTTTGCCATTGACAAGGCTGAGAATGTGGCTGTTCGTATGAGCAAACCAGCTCTCAGCAATTGGCTTCCTTTTTCCCTGCCTCATCACTCAGTGAAGCTTGTTTGTCTACCAGCTATGTGAGCTACCTCTCACCCTGCTACTCTGATCAAATTTTGGGAGCTATGT